GCTTCACACTTGTGCTGAAAATGCTGTATGTAGCACACTGCTCTCCATACATCTTCTCAAAGCCAGGAATTTGCTTATATTATTTTAAAAGAAATTAAGAAAGGAACATGCTCCGAACATGTTAGGAATTTTTGCTAATGCAAATAAACTGGTATAATTATATTCTTTTTGATAAAAAATTGAGTCTGATTTAAGAGAAAAGGAAAAGAAACTTTAGCAAATGAGATACTTTTTAGAAAGTTTTATTATATTAATATAATGATAGCTACTAAAATACTTTTAATCTGTTAACTATAATAGATCTGCAATATGCTGCAATAATATTTAGCGCCTGAATACAACCTGGCAAAACAAAATTCTGCTGAAAGAGAATTGTTGCACTTACATATTGTTATATAGCAGCTAAGTGCTGACCTCTAGTGGCTATATTGAGAATATCTTTATATCATTACCCACTACTGAACAACTTCTACATCGTTATAAAGACAAACTTATTTTGCTCAATCTATATTTTCCACTAAGTTTTTAAATACTTAAACATAAGTTTTAGATATAAGATGCTACTATAAGTGAAAAATCTTGGTATGAAAGTCCCAGAATTGGATCTCAGCCTTTAACTTGTTAGCTGACTTCAGACAAGTTACCAAACTTCTCTGAATCTGTTCTCAAATCTATTAAATAGCAAATAATACGATTTAGATAAAGATTAGTTACCACCATTGCTAATTTAACCGTTAAATCTGTAACTGTATCTCTTTCTATGTAAGGTCTTCAGCACTTACTCTCCTTAAGACTTTTTCATAAATATCAACCCATTTCAAGCAACTCACACGAGTCAAACATCAAAAAATACAGCCAATGTAGAATTTTTTTTAATGCAAATCTACTTCCAAAACTTCATTGGCTTTACATGATAAGGATGACTTTCTATGGCATTGATTGTTTTGAATCCACTGAAAAAAGAAAACCACCCTAGGAAGAAATGTAATTATCTCTAAATAACACTGTCATATACTTTTAAAAGAGCTATAAATGATTTTATAGGAAAAAATTACTCAGAAGCTATCATTCAAACTTCCTTTCCACACATTTCTGGATCTCTTTATAAAGAAGAAATCCTAAAATTCTGAAATTTCTAGTATAATCTCCAAACTCATAAATTGGTATCATCAAAAAATATTGTAGTTTTATATACAATTTACACAATTGCCTTAAATATTCATTAAGAAGCTTATCTGACACAGCCTTTCATTAAGTTAGGTCAATTCCACATAAGGTCTTATTGGAGTTGAAGTCTTCCAGAAACCACTTTCCCCCATGGATAACATTCCAAGGCAAGCCACGTTGGCTGGCTGTGGGTTGTCTGTGGACTAGTTCATGACTGTACACCCAAACAAATCACCATCACCTCCAAAGCTCCTTCTGCATAAACTCATTGGAATTGTTTTCCATTTTCAAACAGTAAATACATCTCAAAGCTTTTTTTGATGATAGTGTTTTCAGTTTTAGTCATTTTATTGCCATATTACTCTTTTAAATTTTTAACAAAACTTACATTAACAACTCCAAAATAACATGATGTCAGTTTAATTAAGACTTAACATTCCTGAAAGCCAAGAAACACTGGAAATACAAACAAGTAAATATATTCATTTGCTGAATCAATGTCACATTTGCGATTCATATTTCATGCTAATCAGATCTGAATAATGAGAGAAATTCCTAATTTAACAATGGCTGACATTCTCCAAATAATTACTTTCCTTAAACTTTACCTCCCTAGGTGACTGATCACATTGCTAATCGTGTATATAATGATAATGAGTTTTTATGCCATTGGAGGAATTTGCAACAGTTGATTAATTAACTTTGTAAAGGGATTACTAGTTAATTTACAAGGAATTTATGAAGAATGTTTAGTGCCCTGAATTTGTCAGAGTGAAAGAAAATTGATCCTCAAAGAACTGTTTCTTAATTCATTTATAATTACTTGTACCACTGCCCAAAACTCTTTCCTGTATACTTTTCATAACAAAAGATTTAGTATTAAATGTAATTTATTTAACTATGCCCAATTTATACTTCAGTAGCTATAAGATCTATGCCCAAAATTCAGTTCTAAGGTTGAGCACTGCTTTAAGTGCTCACCTTCGGAAAATGTGGTTCTCCTAAACATTCAGCAACTGACAGGCTAGTTCCTGCATCTTATGCTACTTATACGGGATACAATTTGAAAACTTCTCAACTGAATAGACACATTATTCTACCAACAAATACTACCTGAGTTTAAGAGCACTGCCATCGCTAAACCCCCTTTACGCTCATTTGCATGCTCATCTGCATAACTGTCACAGGCCCACATCATTTATGCAAATCTCTATATTTTTCCACATACAAAAGGACTGGGAGAAGCATTTTAAACCATTTGCTTTCTATAGGATTGTCTCAGCTTTGACCTCACATCTGTGTGTAGCGAGGATCTATTATTGCAAATTTTATATTTCTCTTTAAGGAGCTAGAAAAGAGTATGACTTTTGTTTTTCCATGGCAGACATCTTCTTGTACAGCCAACACAGAAATTTTATTTTTAAGGTTAAGGCAGGCAAGAAAAAAATAAACTCGGAAGGAAAAAGGAAGATGAGTGGAAGCAGAAAAGAAAGAACGGGTTTTAAATACTTCTAGCTGAGGTGGAGTAAAATACTTTACCTGGCAGCAAGTAATCAAAACAGTCCACGTCCTTGACTTTAAGAAATGTATTAAGCACCTGATACAAACACACAGAGACGCATGCAGGCACAAACCCGCCCACCGCTGCTGTGCAGACTCACTCTTGCCCCACCCAGCACACGCCTGCCCTTCTTCAGGGAATGTTTACCTTGCTTCTGCATGGAAGAGGCCAGGCCCTTCACCGTCTCAGCCCTTGTATTTCAGAGTCACTCTAGTCCATAAGTAGAACTTCTGACCCAGACCTACCCACCTCCTGGGCCTCTGTGACTGGCTCACTTGAGACAATCAGAGACAATCCTGAGCGTTTTCTTTGAAAGACTCAGAAAGGCTTTCCCTCTCTCCCACTGTGTTTGCCACCAAGAAGATGCAGAGGGGGGGAGCCGTGGCTGTCATTTTGTCTCTGTGAGGTGAGGTGGGGGCCTGGGACTGCCAGGGGATACCATGAGGACCTGAAAGGAAGCCAGAATTGGGAGGAGAGAAACCACACCCTGATGACAGCATGAGAAATCCAAATCTAACCATTCTTGAAGCCAGGATCTACTTCTGGATTTTCAGCTGTAAGAACCAAAATATTTCTACCCCTCTTTTTTCCCTTAAGCCAGTTAGAATTGTTGAGTTTTGTTTCATTTGTTATTTGCAACGGAGAGAATCTTAATGGATAAATCAAGGCTCTGACATCCTAATGATGACATAATACACAGAAATTCAACTGCTCAAATGCCCTTATTAGTCATATGCCAAGTGTGTCCACATTCTTCATATTTGATTCAGTGTTCACAAGATTTCAGTAACCTTATTAAGTGTGGCACAACTTTATCATAATAAATACACAATTTGTCAATTAAATCTGATGCATTAACTAATGATACTTTTCATACGTATCATTTACTAAACTTTTTCGTATATTTTTAATATATATATATACTGTGAAATAATTACCATAATATTCTAGTTAACATCCTTCATCATGTATGTTTTTTAAATCCATAAGGTAGCCTATGAAGGAAATATAATTTATACTTTATAGATAAAAACCTGAAGTTTAAAATAGCTCATACAATCCAATATCCAAAAAAGCAAACAACTCAATTAAAAGTGGGCAGAAGACCTAAATACACATTTCTCCAAAGAAGACATACAGATGCCAACACATGAAAAAATACTGAACATCACTAATTATTAGAGAAATGCAAATTAAAACTACAGTGAGGTATCACCTCACACCGGTCAGAATGGCCATCATCAGAAAGTCTACAAATGATAAATGCTGTAGAGGATGTGGAGAAAAGGGAACCTTCCTACACTGTCAGCGGGAATGTAAATTGGTAGAGCCACTAAGGAGAATGGTATGGAGGTTCCTTAAAAAACTAAAGACAGAGTTGCCATATGATCCAGCAATCCCACTCTTGGGCATATATCCAGAAAGGATGAAAACTCAAGTTCGAAAAGATACGTGTACCCCAATGTTCAGAGTAGCATTATTTATAATAGCCAAGACATGGAAACAACCTGTCCATCAACAGATGACTGGATAAAGATGTAAGATTTATATATATATATGCAATGGAATATTAGCCATAAAAAAGAATGAAATCTTGCCATTTGCAGCAACATGGATGGACCTAGAAAATATCATACTAAGTGAAGTCGGACAGAGAAAGACAAATTATTATATGATGTCACTTACACGCAAAATCTAAAGAAAATAATAATAATTTATTAAGAAACAGACTACAGACATAGAAAACAAATTTATAGTCACCAAAAGAGAAAGGGGGGATAAATTAGGAGTATGGGATTAATAGATACACACTACTATATATAAAATAGATAATAAGGATTTAACTGTACAGCACAGGGAACTACATTCAATATCTTGTAATAACATATAATGGAAAAGAATCTGAAAATAGATATATATATATATATAAAACGGAATCACTTTGCTGCACACCTGAAACTAACACAATATTGTAAATCAACTGTACTTTGATTTTAAAAAGTAGACAAAATAAACATTTTTCCTATTTTAAAAAAAAAATGAAGTTTTGAAAAGTTGACTTGGCTTTGAGGCCTCACAACTAGTAAGAGGTAAAGGCCAGGTCTTCTTTTCATTTTTATTTATTATCTTTATTTTCATTATACTTTTCATCACTCCACAATTACTTTCTATCTCGAAAAGCATAATTGGCTATAAATGCAAGGGAAACAGATAAGCATTACGTTCCATCAAATTAAGAAAGAGAAGACTTTTTTAAAGAGTATGATCTTACCTAAATCGATATCTCGAATTCCTATGTACAATTCAAGAAGATCATCGACCTTTCCAATGGCCTTTGCTTTGGTTTCAGAGGGCTGTATCAGAGAAGAGAGAAGTAAGGTTATATTTGTATCTTGAACGCCGAGGCATACACAGGGGGAAATCTGACATGGAGCCAGCTCTTGTACGCTCCAGCTAATTTGAATCTCTCTTGAAGTCCAGGAAGACTTCAGAAAGTGACTTAAGAACTGTGTTTCCAAAGATGAACTGGCATCAGATAAGCAGGACGAGGCACTGCAAGTAGAAGGCAATAGGTACACAGGGTCTGTGCGAGGTCCCAGGGTCTGATAAAACAGCACAGCACGTTAAAGAAACAGCAAGACGTCCAGTGTGATGGGAAACACAGTGCCAGACGTGACTAGATCTTAGGAGCTCCTGT